GGCGGCTTGATGTCGGGGGCCGAGATGCTGACGTCGACAGCGCCGGCCTTGACCTCTGCCTCGGGGAGGCTGGCGTCCACTTTGGGCACGCTGACGTCCACCTCGACTTTTGCATCCCTGGCAGTGATTGTCTCACTTAACAGAATTTCTGGTTTGAGTGTTTCATCTTTACTTGTTCCCCATGTAAATGTAGGTAATTTAAACTTAGGTAATCTCTGTTTGCTTTCTTTTCCATCTACATCTTTTTCTCCTTTCTTTGCAGTAATTTCTATCTTTGAACTTCTGTCACTTCTTTGTATGTTTCTGTCTTCTGTCTGTTCCTTTTTTACTGTGTATTTGGATTCTACTTTGCTGTCTTCTATTTTGGTATCACCTGTGGGTAATGTCACCATTTCGACTGATGGTATTGTTATTTTCCATGTAGATTCTTCTTTTTCTGTAACAGGTATCTGAGCTTGCAGATCCATTTTCTTTCCTTTCTCAATTTCTTTATCAGCTTGTGTTACCAATCCTGAATCTGGAACATCTATTTCTGATTTTGTTAATATCTTTTTAGTGTCTGTTTCTTTTCTTTTTGGCACTGACATCCAAAATTTTGTTTTCTGAATTGTTGGTATCTGTTTGTCATCTTCTGCTTGTTTTTCTCTGTCTTCCAGTGTCTCGGGTGTTTGTATTTCAACTCTAGGTCTACCTATTTCTAAATCTCTTTCTTCTATGTATACTTCTGCAGTGTGATCCATTATGTCTACTTTAATTCCATTTTCTCCTTCTGTTTTATCTTCTGTTCCTTTTTGCTTCTTTTTTCGGGATTTTGTTGAGGCTTTTGGTGTTTGTTTTGTTGGGGTTTCTTTCAGATCTGCTTCTAAACTTGGCTTTGATACCTTTCTGGTTATATCTTGCACTTCAGGTACAGTATACTTCAATGCTGATTCCTTTTCCTTTTTAATGCTTATTTCAACTTCAGGGCACTTTTTTGCATATGTGGGAATACCATTTTCCACATCTTTTAAGTCTGTTGTTGAAGTTTCATGTAATTCCTCTGTTTTCATTTCAGAAGTAGAAGCAGTATATTCAACAGTCAGTATTTCAGGACCTTCCAGGCTGATATCTTCTTTGTGCATTTTCTGTTTTTCATATAACAATGTAGTATTTATTTCTTTTTTTTGCTTGTCTTGATGTTCTGTTTTGGATCTATGCATTTTGAATCCAATACTAGGGAACTTCAGCTTCTTTTGGCTTCCTTTTTTTTGTTTGATATGAATTTCTTGTTGAGATTCTGTATCTGTGCTTGTAGGGGAAATATCCTGTATAGCAGGCTCATATGCATCTGATGTACTGTGAGATCTTCTGTGTCCCAGTATCTTTTTATTTTTAATTGACTGGAATTTTGGCCATGATAATCTATCTTTTTTAGGTCTTTTGCTTCTTCCAACCCTTTGGTTTACAATTAATGTTTCTCTGTCTTCTTCTGAAGTAGCTTTTCCTGAAACGTGCAGTGCTTCTTCAGGAATGCTTTCACTGAGTTCTTTATCCTGAAAGAACAAATAGTAGTTACTAAATCAAGTGTAAAATAATATGGAAACAACACAGAACAAAACAGGAAATATAAAATATGTAGAAAATTGAGCTTTGTATTTGCATTATCTACCTGTTACATTTAAAAAAATTATAAAAATGGAGTAGATAATTAAATAGATTACTATTAAGTAAATGGATTTCGTGAATGTAATATGTAGATTTATGGTGTATCTTCTTTGCAAAACACTGCAGTAAATAGAAGGTTCAATAATTGTCTATATTTATAATCTATATTTATAATAACGTTTGTAAAAATATTATTCATTTTTGTATGATATGAAGAGAAAATTTACAGAAAGAATTTTGAAGTGTTCAAGAGGCATATGGATGAGGAGCTACGAGATATGGATTAGTAGCTTGTGGTAGTAATGGTGATGGGAGGACGGTTGGACTAAATGATCTTATAGGTCCTTTCCAACCTTGTGATTCTATGAATGCAGTGAAGATCTGTGAGGAGCCCTTGTGTATGTAAATATCAGGGATTATACATATATTTAATAGAAATTTTCTCACAGTTATTTTGAGAAAAATATTTTCTGGTACTTCACATTTTTAAAGAATATTGAATGTAAGCAGTACAGTTCATCTGCACTCATTTTGTCAGTGGGCTTAACAACAATACCAATGCTGACTCACCACTTTACATCAATACTGTAGCTTTTATGCCAACAAGTATTAATTTTATTAAGTTTAAACACATGGCTATGTCTTAAGAAGACAGGTGAATGTATTTTCTATTCTATATTTCCACACAGCATGTCATTATGGTGTTATCCAAACTTGGTAAATAAGACAAGCACTGACCTGACTTAATCGTTCCTTTTTGTACTGTGCTGTAGAGTGAAAATGTTCTAGCTCTTCTTTCCCAGCAATTTTTCTTTTCAGGCTGAATTGGACTCTGTATGGCTCCGAATACTGAAGAATCTTGAGTGCATCTTCATATTTGATATTATCAAAAAATATTGTAGCACTTAGAAGTTGATCACCTGCAAGAGGAATCAGATGGATATTATTTTAATTAGTTTCTATCTTCTTGTGATTCTTCAAATTCTGTTGCGTTCATGTTCACACACAGAATAAAATAATCAATACCTACCATTCATTTAAAATTCAAAATTATGTTCACAGTCTAGAATCACAGAATAGTAAATTATCTAGTCAAACTGCTCTGTTTGGACAGGGTCTTGCTTTGAGCATGGTCAGCTACAGCATGTTGCTCAGGTCTGTCAGGTTTTGAATATTTCTAAGCATGGTGACTCCACAACTTCTCTGGGCAACCCGCTTCAGGGTCTGATCACCCTGACAGTAACGTTATTTTCTTATAATTTTCAAAACTTAGAATTTGTTCTTAATTAAATCATGATTTATTGTAGTTTTGTTGCATAGTATTTTGCAAAAGAATCAAAGGTAGGTTCTTTGTGAATGGAGTAAGTTGATCTTTCTTTTCATTTTAATTGCGTGTATACTACTTTCTGCATATTCTTTTCACCGTTTGAGTGAAAATAAGTATACAAAAACAATTCACATTTCATTAATCTTGAAGAAACCAATTTTAGAACTATTAATATGGAAAGGTTATATTATTAGCTGGTTTGGCATTTATTATTTCAATTATACAAAGAGATGACAGATCAGAAGGTATCCATAGGCGAACACAGCTACGTGCCTCATTATTTTAAGACTAAAAATATATCAGAAAATCAGACTGTACCTTCTCTCAGACTAAACACTTTTGAAGCAGGAGATTCCTTAAGAACTTTTTTAATAAATATTCCTTCATTTCCTCCACCAGCCACACTAAAACCACTAGCACCAGCTTCCACTTCTGTTTTCAAGGTCACTTCCATTGTCTCCTAGGTATGGAAAAAGATGTGAATTTAAAATTATTATTTTATATCAAAGTGTTTGAGATCATACAATTACTGTCCTCAAGTATATTTTCAGTAGCTCAGGAAAGTATATTTAAAGCAGAGAATGCACCTGTTTGGTGAGGGTGTTCTAAATTAAATTAAGCATATGTATTAGGCCATGCTGCATCAGAGCCACCAGGCAAAATAGATCATAATTTTAAAACATATGGAATTTTGAAACATATGGAATTTCTTAGGGCTGAAAGATTTCATTTTCTGTGAAGATGCTAGGCACCTGAATTAGAGTTAATCAGCCAGAATAAGAGCTACTGCTGAGCTGTACTCAAATCAGAGAAGACTAAAGAGTGTTTAGAAGAATTACAGAAGGACTCCACACTAGGGATTAAATGCACATATCTATGCCAAATTTGAACAACTTGTTAAGATCTTGGCCAAAATAAGTATAAAGTGATTCTTTATCCATTTTTTCTTTCTGTTCACCCATCAACATCTGTGTGTTGTAACAGAACTTTTTTTCAAACCACATTCATAAAACAGTTGAATGCTTTTAGACTGACCTGTGGATGACTCTGTTTTGATTTGTCGGTAGTATATTTTTTGTTTTCTTCTTGCAGCTGAAACACAGATTTCAATTATTTAGTATTGAGAAGTTGTGCTGTTATAACATACAACAAAAGCCCTGCCTCAGTTATAAAGCCTGGTTTAGACCAAGAATCGAGACTGACTTTATTAGCAACAGAGGCAAAACAGGAATCTACCAGTCAGATGTACAGTGGTAGTGATTTAACAATAAATTAGATGCCTTTGAAAGAAATGAGTGCTGGAGACCAGCTGTATTAAGACATTGATAATTTTTCTCATACAACATCTTTCTTGTGCTTTCATCTTTGTGAATAATATACATGTTTTTCATTTATTTGACTTTCAGCATCAATTTCAAAATGTTGCCTACTTAACATGACTGCAATAATTAAATCTTTACTCTTGAAAAATTAACCGATACAAGTGATTTTGAAATATATACTAGATTCAACCAGTTAAATATCTTAATTATAGAAAACATTTCTTGATGCTTTCTGTTCCATATTCCTTAAAGAACGCAGTCAATTGTATTTTTTGCTGAGAAACAAAAAGATGACCAACAACAAATGCAATACAACATCAATGAACATGATCTGGATTTTGGTGAGGGTAGGTAGGAAGACAATACAGCTGCAACTACATTATGTACGTGACATAGGAATTTTGGCTACCGGTGGGAGCTAAAGCCCTCTGAATCAATCCAATAAAGCCATGTCTGCATAAAACCTCAGCATTCTTACCTTTAAGTATTCTTCTTCTACGGAATATTCATAAACTGGTGAGGATCCCTGTGGCCTTGGACGGATGTCTTCTACTGCCACTTCATTAACCTGCAGGAAAGAAATGAGGGGTGGGAAAGATGCATCCACTATTAAACAGTGACCCAATTGTTTAGGAGAGATTTTTTCATCTCCTTCTGTGTAAGCATCTTTCATTAGTAATGTTTAATGAAGATAAACCAGTAACTCTTTGGTCAACAATATGAGGGATGCCCTGAAAGTGATGCCTCCTATTTCATTATGTTGGCTCACAACATTTGAGAAGATGTATCACTGAATTCTTCCATGTGGAAAAAATGGCACCTGCTGACAGAAGAGCTGATAGAATGACTTTGATTTTCTTTATGAATTGCATGCATCTGTGGGCTGGACAGACTGAAAGTATTAACAGATCAATTAGTAACAATTAAAAAAGGCCATCTTTATGCCATCTCTTCCTTATTTTGCATGGTTAAACTCTGCATCATGTAACTTCAAACTTTATTGCCCTCTGTAAACAAGCAAACCATATAGGAGTCCCAGAAGGAATATGGCTGACAAACTTTCAGCATACTTCCTTGTGGAGTCAGTCGATGGTGAACCATAGATAAAGCTTTAAAGAAATGAGTTTGCAATCAGCAGCCATGATTTGCTAGGTTTTGAGATTAAACAACCTAAAAAAACTCACAGAATCTTCATCTTCTGCATCAGCATCAGCATCTCCCGGAGGCTCTGCCGGTCTCAGCTGTCGTCCGGAACCTGAAAGCAGCACACAGGTTGTTGGAGTTGATATCAGCTGTGCAAAGCAGAGAGCAAAGAGCTGCCAAGCCAACCCCAAGCAGCACACCTGGGAAATGTGCATGGCTGGCTGTAGAAAGGACTGCTTTTGTTCAAATTCCTTATCTCATCAGGCTGATCTTTCCAAAGTGCTTTTGAGAGAGTAAGCATCATGAATTTTTGATTGTCATACAGACTCTCTTTTCATGGGTTTTAGAAGTATCCAGAGCACAGAGGGATGGGGTAAAAGAGACAGGTTGTTTGAAAATAGGATTATTTTGAAATGCCTGAAGTTGGGCCACAAAGAATGAAACTAGAATGGATATATCATCATTTTCAGCAATTCAAGCTTACCCAGTAGCTGACAGTGTGGCTGAGATGAACACTCCCTGATGTGCAGGATATTCTACATGCATACAGAAATTCTTGTCCTGATGATCATACCTCCTTTCTGTCTCCACAATATGTTATTTTGAAGGCATTGGGCTGTCTCTCTCTCTCTCTCGGGTTCAATTCTGCAACTGCCATTATCATACATAGTTTTGGCTTGCCTAAACATATCCCCTGGCTTAAAAATATGCTTGAACACTAGACAAGACAGCCACAAGCAACACTGCATGACTCTTTCATTGTCTAGTTTAAACAAAGAATTATTGGGCTGGAAAATAATATTTCTGACTGTGGATATTGCATCCTGTATGTGCAGACAAGCTAGCATGTCTCATATATGCATACAATCACTCTACAAGTTGCTAAGCTCTTGTTAAAATGGCTGTGATTTTGATAGCTTGTTTTCATAGTTTACTGATGTTCTACACTTTTTTTTTTCCTTATCTTTTTTGCATATGAAAATTGCTTAGTGTTGGCAAGTTCATAAAGATCTTTGCCATGTAATCAGTGGTGGACTACTTCATTAAAATGAATGGTGATATTGTGCTTCCAATGGAAATGTTCCATGTCAGTCCGAGGCCAAGTTCATCATTTAAATCATCTTAATTATCTGTCCTATGACATTTTAGCTCCAAAGAACTAAGATCAACTTAGAAAACTGTAGAAAATGGTCTTCCTGCAGGCCAAAATTCAGATTAAATGCCGACAGAAACTGATTTGATTTTTTCAAAAGCTCTGGTATATGCAGTTTTCAGAAGCTGAACAAAATTAGAAAATGAGTGTTCCAATGTGCATCTAGAAACCTGATTTTAGACATTTCTGTTTAAATTTCTGGAATTCATTCACGAAATTCTTCACCACATCCACATTAATAAGTATCATACCGAGAGAAGACCTGCAGGACTGAGGTTTTATTGTCTAATTTGTTTAGTGCTTCTACAGATTCAGGTGCCAACAGCAAATTTTATGGCTGTTACTAAAATTCCAAGAAATAGTAGGGACTTAGACTTGTGGCATTGCCATATTTTTCACTTGGGAAAATCCCACCCACAGGCTTTGAAGTCCATTAGAATGACTTAACAGAATAGTGCTTGGGTTGCTAGAATGTTTGCTCTTCAGTGCAGCACTTTAAGGCTAATTCTGCATCAATCCCTAGTGGATGCCAATGATTCTACTACTGGAAAAGTAAAAGGAAAGAATTATCTGGAAGGATTCTTGGACTGGTTCACTGCTGTTTCTCTTGTTTTACTCTAGTGATGTTTTATTTGTTTAGAACTAGAGCACTGCAACTGTGGGGTTCTCCTTTCTTGGGATTTGAATGGTCCTGCACAGTTTGCACAGTTGATTTATCTCACCATCCAGTAGGGTACATCCTACAGGTTCTAGCAGAAGTAAAACTTTTAAAACCAGTTGCTTTAAACAAAGGATACTTAGAATGATTAGGCAGCCATTAACTTCAAAATCCTCCTGTTGCTAAGAGTGGGCTACTCATAACCCCAGGATAATTACATCACTTCCCACAGTGAAACTTGAACACTTACTTCCCATCAGGATTACATTTTAAAACAACAAATGACTCTGCCAAGTCTTGTTTAGCGTGGATGTGGAAAGGTAGACTTGGCCTAGATGATCATCTGTGCCTAGATCAGGAGAGATGTTTCTTGTTTTTCCTCAGCCATTTAGCAGGCAAAACAGTGCTGCATGAGGCACACGGGTGGCTTCACTTGGACACCTGCTGACAGGTGGTTGTTTTCCTTGTCCTTACTAGGGATCAAGGCTTGACAAAATGTCAAATGTCATCAGAAACATCCTGAGCAAATCTGTGAGTTTTCACCCACCTTCTGATTTCCCCAGGCTCTACCTATTTTAATTCTCTCTCCTACCATAGTCAACCTATGTCACAGAAGGCTTGTACCCCTCATTCCCACTGTAGGGTAGGCCTATGACTTGCTTCAGATTTTTTTTCCTTAAAAGCAAATCTGTAAAAGAGGGGAATTACAGTACTTCAATAAATTCCATTTTCAGCAAAGCTTCTTTCTGTGTATATAAGATTGTGCCAGTAAACTATGATTTATATGCATGTCATTCTCATGCCCCAAATAGTAGTGATGCCAAAGTTTTATAGGTTTGAGGTTTTTTTTTTTTTTTTATAAATCCTGGACAATCAATGCTTTGTTCAGAATGTTTTCATAAACAAGATGGAATTTACATCAGTGACTGCTTCTAATAGCCAGTTAACTGACTTCAGAACAAGGGAATTTTTTGAAAGTAGGCAGTAGGAGTTATATAGAATGGGACGTTTTCATATCATATGACTGCAAATTGTGTTTGCTTTTTAAAACAATTTTAAAAAATATTTTATCTCTAATTTAGCAATCCAGCTGGGCTATTTGGGGTAAAACTGCAAAAATGTAAAACCAGCTCTATTTTTTTTTTTTGGTATATGCATTCTGTGGGTAACAGTTTCCAAAAACACATTTGAGATATTACAATCAATTTGAAGTATAACAGTGTCATCTAATTCGAGCAAAAGTGTGCGTTAATGTATTGTATAAACTAAACAGAAATGCATCCTCAACTGGGACACCAGCATGTAAATTTATCATAACCTGAGTGCTTTAAAATCAAATTGATAGTATAACAGCAAATGATAATACCAGATGTGTTGTTAAAAAAAAAAAAAAAAGAAACTAAACTATTTTGCTGTTCATTCCAGATCAAATGCTTACAGATTGTATTCCCTTCTTTGCTCTTCTTAAGGTTTCGTAGTACAGTTATGTTTGCAAATGAATTTAGTGAACAGAAGTAGTCTGACATATAGCACGTATTTTTGACAAGGATTAAGCATTGCTCATTCTCAGGTAAGATCCTGATCCAGGAGAAGAGGTTTCATTCTGCTATGTTCTGACTGGCATGAATTATCCAACTTTGCTTCAACACTGGGTTTCTCTTAATAGACAGAACCTGAGCTGTGGTAAACATATGAGACATGTTTATGCTTTGCTCACTCATTTATTATTCTTTGTTAATATATGAAAGACACAGAGCTGTGCCTTTTCTCTACTAGGATTTGGTGTATACTAACTACCATTTCTTAGCTGTGGTAAAACACAAACCTTTCCAGTTGTCCAGTGTTGACCTGGCTTTATGGAAATAACAGCCTCGAGTCCACAGCCAGTTACAGGACTCATGCTTAGATACTGCTTAGCTCCTGTTTTCTAAATGGAATGCCTTTCTTGAAACAAACACTGTGCCCAAACCTTTAGTCTATGGCTCATTCTCCCCCTCTTTCAGGTATTGCAATTGCTTGGATTCCTTTTCTTCACTCTGAGCCCCACAGTCCCATCTGATTTACTTCTCATATTTGAAATAGAAAATATTTAGAATAATTAGAATATTTAAAATTCTAGCTCCCAGTTCAGAAAAGCACTTGATAACAGGAACACTATGCACATGCTTGGCATTTAACTCAGCCTCTCAAGAGTACATTTTCTGATAGGTAAGTTCACCTGACTTTAGTTTGCTAAGAGAAAATCGTCACTGTGAGGTAATAAGCAAAAAGGCAGCATTCAAATATTTTACTTTTTCTTTGGCATCCTCAGTGTTTTCCATATCCAATTCTATTTTTATCTATCTCAATCCACGGTCTCAATTATTTTGATGGGTTACTTAATTAATGCATGTGTCTTGCACTGGGTTCTTTGGATTTCCAAGGATATTCCAGGAGACTGTGGAGTGATGAATAAATGTAGATCAACCAACTCATTACAATGTTATTTCAGCTAGGCAGCATCATCAAGTATTTAAGCTCACGACTGAAAAATAGTCTAAAACTGGATTTTTTAAAAGCCTTCACAAGGTTACATTGACTGCAAAAAATCTTTTCTATCTCGGCTACCATTTTCTCAAATGAAAATGAATTCTTGGCACTTAAAAAACTATATTCACTACTTTCCAAACTCAGCTGTACTACAGATCTCTGAACCCACAAGGAGATCTTTGTGTTCTCTTAGCTGCATCAATTGGCTTGATGAGCCACAATTTGCCAAATCCCCCTGCTAAATAATGCTCTACAAATGAGATATACAAGCACAAAAATAGTTACTCAGTATCAGCAGTGGCCTGAAATGTTTTACTATTTCTCTTTGTTTCCCCCAGAGCTTTATTCTACAGCTCAAATTACATATGGAAGTGATGACCTCAAACTACATTAAAGACTAGAAGCCTTCAAGGGCTGTTGTTAAAAAGAAACCATGGCAGATTTGCTGTCTGCAGACTGCGTGGCAAAGAGCATCTGCCTTAACACCATAGCTTGGATTCAGCTGCAAATTTCCTTAAATATACATGCCAAAGTTTAATGTAAAGACCAAACAAACAAACAAACAAACCCCCCCCCAAAACCCCAAACCCAGCAATTAAGAATATACAGGGGTATGCTAAGCATGAGGGCCTTGGCTATGGCTATTCATCCCCACCATGCACATCATCCTGGGCAATATGGTGGAACAGCCACAGTCTTCCAAACAAACAGTGCTGTCTGTGAGACAAACTATCCTGCAAGCAATGCTTGGTGAAGGTAAGAATCTGAAAGG